CCCCAAATGGAGGATTTTGGCTTCCTTGTGGAACTATTGATGTAGAAGTGCTGCTGGTGAAGTGTTGAAGGTGCCGCATTCATGGTGACCAAGTGCCAGGGCCTCCGCGTTCACGTGGCTCTCACCGCGTTTGCAAAGTGTCGTCCCTTTCACGGGCCTATCACAGCCCGAGCCTACACCCCGGACGTGGCCGACACTTGAGAACCATTGTTGGTCCCTAAGAGAACTCTCATTCCTACTAACTACAAGCGGAAGACTAACTCAAGCATACACAAGCATCAAAACCAAAGAATTATTTAAAAATAACTTATTAAATCGTAAAATTTATCTGAAAATACTGAGTATTAAAAATAAAATTTTAAATAAAATATTTGAAACTGAATACTGTAAGACTGAGACTGTCTATCTATAAAGCCACTAATGTATAAAGATAGGCGTCGGGAAAAGACCCACGACACCTCAAAGTGTTACTACTAACAAATCATAAAATTATAGCCCATTGAAAGTAAGGAGGCCTCTCCAAAAGCTGACGAGCGTATGATGTGATCTCAATGAAACTCTTGTTGATGATCCTAAGTACTTGAATTTGCACCATGAAATGATGCAGGTCAAATGACATCAATACATTGAATGTAGAAGTATGTAATAGGGTTGAATAACACAATTAACATTTAAGCTCTTACGGTAGGAATGCAATAATAGTAAATAAAGAAACAAAGTGGATTTACAAGAGTTGGAAACTGACAAATTCAAAGAAACGCAACAAAAACAACATAGGAAAGGATCATTGACCAACAAAAGAAGAATATATTGATGGTACTTAAGAAAGGATTATAAGGCTACTCTCTGGAATAGCTTTAAAGGCTTTAGCTTTTTTTATCAACACTGGCAGGTCACTTAGGACTAGTCAATTTATGATCGAGAAGAGTAGACATATTGTCTGTGTCTTAAAAAAATACTCATGAGAGCAATGGTCATATTTTACTTTTGTACCTTCGAAAGTAACAATTTTTGTAAAATTATCCCACACAACATATCATTTTTCCCTTTTTAGCAATAGCTTACACAGTTGTTTAAGATTCACTTTCTATATGTGAGTCCTCACTTTCACCCATCACCTTATCAGTTTGTTTGTCTTCAGCCATGCTATGAGTTTGATTTTCAGTAAATGTGATTAAAAAAATCAATATACAAAATTATCAAAATCAAAACAAAGCCAAACAAAATGAAAATTAACAACATAATTCAACAAGAATTAAAAAGAGAGCAAATTATCTCAAGAAAATAGCGACCCATCAAAAATTAAGCGAACAAAATCTTGAATTATGAAGTTTGAAATAAATATTTGAGTAAATACTTGGATACTAAAATAGAGTCAGGACTTAGAAAACACATGCCTTGCACAATCGACAAAAAAAAGACTAAACTAAAATAATTAGGCTAAAATAACACATGTAGTACACTACACTTACATATCTAAAATGCATACACATCATTATTCAAATAGATAAACCAAAAACTAAGTTAAAAATAAGAAGAAAGAGACAAAAAAAAACATTAAAAAGGGAGGTAAAGAGATAAATGAAAAGAGAGATGGATACTTCACTCAGTACCTACCAACGAAAGAGAAGAATTAAGCAAACAAACTTGAGATTTGAGAAGCAATTGAGCAGTGAGCAAGAAGAGACGAAGAGGCCTAGATGAGGCTTTATAGTTTACACCTTTACCTCTATTAAACTTTAGAGATTTTTTTGATTTTCATGACTTGCTCTCTGTTCTATAAGGCAGAATACATGATTATAGAAAAATAAATGAGTTTTCATAGCTTTAAAACTTTAGCCTTTAAGAGTTAGGACTTGATGAGTGGTATATTTGCACTCATTTGAGGCCTATTTACCTCCACAATTAGTTTACTCAATGCCTAATTATGTCCTATTCTAATGATATTTTGATGATTTCTAGTTATGAAGGGTAAAGGACAAGGGAAGGATGAATGAATGAAAGAATGACCAAAAATGTAAAAAGAAGTGTAAACTATACATTGTTGATCGTCAAACAAGAAATGCAGATCGCCTAATGGGTATGACCTCTCCCAAATTCAAAGTGCACAACAATTGCAATAATTGAGGCAAGTCGGTGAACTCCAAAAGGAAAGGCGACATGCCGAAAGAGAAAGGCGAACTTGTTGACCATCGTTGAAAGCGACAATGAAAGGAGAAAAATTGAAGGCTTGAAAAGTGAACTAAGGTGATACTCAGTAATACGCTAAATGTGAAAGGTGGACTCAAACGAGCTCACTAACAGAGGTTCAAACACATGAAGCCTACAGTAAGAGAAAGGTGACTTGGAGAACAATTGACGATCCACCTATTGTGATCGGCGAGCAAAACTAATGTCACTGAATGATTAGTGGGTTGAGTTTTGGGCCAAATTTTTGAAAATCATAAATATCCCAAAGGAGAGAGACAGAAAGATTTCACATAAGTGAGAAAATGTGGAAAGATTGAGAGAAAACTCTGAATATTTTGGAGAGAGAAACACTTTACCTTGTGAAAAACACTTTCTAGTTTTTGGGGTTTTTCAACTTTGCTCTTTAAATTGATAAATTGAAGTTGAATCCAAAGTGAATATTCTTGTAATTGATTAATCTCATGTTACCCATGGTTGCTTTCATGAAAGGTATAATTTCTTTGCTTTTTGTGAAGGGTGGCTAAAACCCCAAGATTTAGGGGTGGAATTATGGGGTTGCGTGTTGATTTGATGTAGTGGTTATTATGTTGTGCTCTGATTTTCTATTGTTCATACATGAATGTAGGCTAATTAGCATGGGGTTAATTTTTGGGTTAATGTTGCAAACTTAATTTCTACTTTCGATCTCTTGTCGATGTTCGAAAGAGATTAGTTGGAGTTGGTAGTTAGTCTGATACTAGCAATTTAGGTTTAATGTAGGTAACTTGCTTGAAAATAGAGGTTATGGGTTGGATCTATTTGCCCTATTTCTGTATCGAAAGAGAGAATAGAGTAAAGTATTGGGTTTTTTAGTATAGCATATTGTCACGACCCAAATCGTTGTGATTGGCACCCACACTAACTCTCCGATGGGCGAACCATTACTACAACCCAACTAAGCAGTTTAATGAAAACTAAGCATTTAATGATACTGAAGCAAGTTTAAATGACTAAATAAGATACAGAGTTCCCATAAACTCTGAAGGTCTAACAAAACAACTATTGCGAAAATTCAACCCGTAGAACTGAAAGTCATTGTACCAAAACTCTGTTAACCAAGAAGTCTAAGGAAAAATGGGGTGCAACCCCGAAAACTAAACATAGCAGCCTAGATAGATAGTCTAAGACCAAAAAGAATGGACTAAACAAAAGAAGGATCCATGGCAGCCTAAAAGAACTAGCACACCCTCGAATCTGGTCGCGATCAATAATCTCCTAACTGAGGTCTGTTAGTAGCCTATTGAAGATGCCCTATACTCAATACAGAAAGAGCAAGTGCAGTATGAGTACACAAAACCACGATGTATTGGTAGGATCACGCGACTACTCCTGTAAGCACAATATATACAAGCAATTACAACACAATAAGCACACATATACAGAACACATAGTTCAGTTATCATTTTAGGAACAACATACAATTTTCCAATATCAATGACAGGTAAACATGAACATAACAATCACAAGTGGTCTTCTCATGGAACTCACACCCAAACTGTTAGTGTGTCGAAACGTGACACCCGATCCAATATACATGTGTCGGAGCGTGACACCCAAACCAATATATGTGTAGGAACATAACACCTGATCCAATATATGTGTCTGAACGTGACACCCGATCCAGTCAGCACAACAACAGTCATAATCACAACCATAATGAACAATACTCATAGTCATACAATCAAGTAATAGGTTCATGGCATGTATTGTGCACACATAATCATTTCATTAGATTTGATTCACATTTGGATATTCACATACATGCACACATACAATGAAGCAATTATCCGGCATATATCACACAACAAGAAATCAAACTATCACCTACCTCGAAACCAAGCCAAAATACTCCTAAGACACTTGAGTCTTTCCTTTCTGAAGTCTTTCAGCTTGTTCTTGGTCTATAAACAAGTAATTAATGCAAGGATCAATAAACAAGGTCTAATTTATCTAGATTATAAGAAACTTATCAACCCAAAACCAAATCCATGATCCTAATGTTCAACTAGGGCTTTTCCCATCATCAACTTTAGGCCAAAACCTTTACCCAACGGTAATAACCCAAGATTCTAAGTTCTAGGAATAGAAATATGGATTAAGGGAGTAATTAACTTATGTTTAGCGCTAGAAATCGTGGAAAACTGTCAAGAATCTCCCTAGGTCGTCCCTTAGCTCTTAAGAACGATGTTTTACCGAAAATAATGAAATTGGGGTTTTCCCTAACTTAACTAGCAACAGGCTCGCCATAGCGAACCCCATCCCACCATAGCGGCCACGCCTTGGCATGATTAATCCCGCCCCGATGGCTTGCACAGAGACAAAAGCTCGAAATTTGAGTCACAAGCTCCCATTTCACAACACACCTTCAAACCGGGACGTTCTAAAACTACTCTTTAACGCCAAGATCAATTTCGAGAGTTCTACTCGCTTGAATTCAATTCTGTAAAACCGTACAGGCTCCTTAACGTCTTGGATATCCACTCATGTGATCAAATTCATAATTACATCCCACATTCATTACCAGATTTCTCTAGACCTCACCTCACTCAGATTTCATCCAAGTCTGGCCTAGGCTAGAAATTTCCAAGTTACTACTCAAAAGTTTTCTGGCCCAAATTCCTTCCCCATTGGCTTTTCCATAACGACGGGAATCGTTCGTTACAATAGATACCAATTTACCCATCACTCATCCCCGAGTGAAAAAATAAGAGAAAAGGGATAAAGCAAGACTAGAATAGTACATGAATCGTCGAATAACTAGGAGAAAGGGGCTAAAGCAAGAGTAAAGTAGCTTCCTCAATAGGACGATGCTTCCATTTAACTTTCACAGACATTATCTCCTTAGTTCTCAGCTTTCGAACATCGCGATCCAGAATTGCAACTGGTTCCTCCGTATGAAGGTCTTTGTCTAACAAAATTGAGTCCCACTTTATGATGTAATCTTTGTCCCCATGATACTTATTCAACATGGACACATGGAACACTGGATGAACTCTACATAGGCTAGGCAATAAAGCCAATCTATAAGCCACTGGCCCTACACAGTCAAGAATCTAAAATGGTCTGATGTATCGAGGAATAAGCTTGCCCTTCTTGCTGAATCTCATTGCCACTTTCATGGGCGACACCTTTAGAAGAATTTTCTCACCAGCCTGAAATGTCATGTCCCTTACCTTGCGGTCTGCATACTTTTTCTATCAACTCTGGGCTACTAGAAGCTTAACTTGGATACTCATCACCTTATCATGAGCATCCTTCATCAAATCAACCACCAAAGATTTCACATCTCCAACCTCAAACCACCCTATGTGTGATCTAGATCCCCTCCTATAAAGTGCCACAAACGATCCCATGTCAATGCTAGAGTGGTAATTGTTACTATAGGAGAACTCACACAATGGTAGGAACTTATCCCAATGCTCTCCAAAGTGAATCACATATCCCCTCAACATGTCCTCCAACACTTGAATAGTTCTCTCTGACTGCCTATCCGTCTGTGCATGGAAAGTTGTGCTAAAAGTGAGTTGAGTGCCCAACTCCTCATGCAATGTTTCCCCAAAAGTGGATGTGAACTGCGTACCACGGTCTGAGATGATAGAAAGGGGCACTCCATGCAGCCTCACATTTCTTTCACATAAACCTTAGCCAATTGTTGAGCATTATAGTCTACTCTGACTGGAATGAAATGGGCTGACTTAGTCAATCTATCAACCACCATCCAAATGGAGTAAAACTTTCCCAAGGTCTTGGGAAGACCAACCATAACATTCATAGCTATCCTTCCCCCACTTCCATTCCGGAATTGGCATTCCCTGAAGCAAACCTGCAGAACTTTGGTGCTCATACTTTACCTGCTTACAGTTTTGGCACTTAGCCACAAACTCAGCTATGTCTTTCTTCATGTCAAGCCACCAATAAAGTCATTTTAAATCGCGGTACATCTTGGTCACACCCGGCTGAAGGGAATACTGCGAACCATGGGATTCTATCAAAATCTTCTGAATCAAGTCATCCACTCGGGGAACACAAAGTCTTCCCTTAAAACTGATCACACACACACCCCTCCCGCATTAAGAATCACATCTTATGCCTTACCAGACACTCTTTCTGAGCTCATTCAAACTCTCATCCTCAAACTGCTTGGCCTTGATCTCTTTAATGAATGTGGGCCTAATCTCAATGCTAGCTAACACCCCACATTTCTCTGAGATGCCCAACTGCATGAACTTAGACTCCAAGGTCTGAATCTCCTTGGCCAAGGGTCGCTTGGACACACCAAAGCAAGCTAAACTACCCATACTTACCATCTTCTGACTTAGTGCGTCTACCACCACAATAGCCTTACCCCGATGATACTGGATGGTAACATCATAATCCTTGAGTAACTCCATCCACCTTATCTGTCTCAAATTTAGGTCCCTTTGAGTGAATACATGTTGTAGACTACGATGATCAGTAAACACCTCACATTTGACACCATAAAGGCAATGCCGCCAGATCTTGAGAGCAAACATTACCACTACTAACTCCAAATCATGTATCGGGTAATTTCTCTCATGCACCTTCAACTGTCGCGATGCATCAGCTATGACATTTCTTTCTTGCATCAACTCAACACACAAGCCCAAATATGAGGCATCACAATAAATAATGAAAGCTTTACCTTCCATCGGCAGGGTCAGAATAGGTGTTGTGGTCAAAAGAGTCTTGAGTTTTTGAAAGCTCTCTTCTCATTTGTCAGTCCACTAAAAAGGTACCTCCTTTTTAGTCAGCCCTTTCAAATGAGTGGCAATAGAAGCAAAATTCTTTACAAATCGACGATAGTAGCTGGCGATCCCCACAAAACTCCTAACTTCAGTCACACAGCTAGGGAGGACCCAATTCTTGACTGCTTCAATATATTGGGGATCTACCATTACCCCTTCATTTGAAAGCACATGCCCCAAAAAGGCAACTGAAGTCAACTAGAACTCACACATGGAAAATTTGGCATACAACTCATATTTTCCAAGAGCACCCAAAACAATACGGAGATGGTCGGTATGCTCTTCCTTACTCTTCGAATAAACCAAATTATCATCAATAAAGACGATAACAAAAGAATTTAGGAATGGTTTAAACACACCATTCATCAAACTCATTAAGGTTGTAGGCGCATTGGTCAATCCAAACGACATCACTAAAAACTCATAGTGCCCATAGCGGGTTCTGAATGCCGTTTTGGGTACATCCTCAAGTCTAATCTTTAACTGATGGTGAAAAGACCTTAGATCAATCTTAGAGAAAACTGACACACCCTGCAACTGGTCAAAAATATCATCTATCCAAGGCAACATATACTTATTTCGAAAGGTGATCCTATTTAACTGCCGGTAGTTTATGCACATGCTCATACTACCATCCTTCTTCTTAACAAACAATATAGGAGCACCCCACAGGGAGGCACTAGAACAGATGAAACCTTTATCAAGAAGCTTCTGGATTTGAGCTTTAAGCTCTCTTAATTCTATCGGAGCCATGCGATAATGAGGAATGGAGATGGGGCGAGTACCCGATTCCGAGTCAATGCAGAAATTTATATACCTATCCGGAGGCATACCAAGCAAATTGGTAGGAAACAGTTCCTTCAATTCAGACACCACAGAAATAGACTCAATAGAGGAATTCATCCTTAATATCCAGAATATAATCCAAATATGCCAAACACCTCTGCCCCACCAGTTTCCTAGCCCGAATGAAAGATATGACCTTAGTTGGCTTAGGCTTGTACACCCTTTCCCACTCTAACTTTTCCCTACCCGGGATCTCTAGAGTCGCTGACTTAGCATTATAATTAAGTACAACATAATATGGGGACAACCAAATCATGCCTAAGATTATATCAAAGTCAGTCATATCCAGAATAACCATATCATCCCAAGTTTGAAAACCATAAACAAGATAGGACAAGTATGATAGACATGGGTGACTATGACAGACTCTCCAACTGGGGTAGAAAGATGGATGGGGCATCAAGGACATCACAAACCACATTAAATCCCAAGGTAAACTTAACTGACACATATGAATAAGTAGAACCCGAATCAAACAAGATTATAGCCATCCGGTCACAGACAAGAATAGTACAAGTGATCATTGCATCAGATGCCTCAGACTCGGTCTTTCCCAAAAAGGCATAACATTGAGCCCAGTCATCTTGACGGGCGACCTCCTTGCCTGGCTGCACTGCTCCTCTACCTGCATTACCATTTCCCTAGCCCTCAAGTCCTCGCTGATTTCCTCCTCGCCCCCCTTGTGGACGCCCTCTACCATTACTACATATTCCCGCAAGTACCACTACTCACATCTATTGTTGCACAGGGTTAGGCATGCGTGGATGGGGACAATCTCTCCTCATATGCCCAGGTTCTCCACAATTGTAAGAACTGCAGTCAAAAGACGGCTTGCTGCCAGACACAGGTGCGCCTCCTGGACCGTCCTAAATAAGATTTTGTTATGGAGTTCCCGAGTAAACAACTGTAGAAGTGGGCATGGCTGACTGAATTGGCCAGGCTGCAAGTGTCAGCCTACATGAACCTCTGGAGTAGGAACCATGAAAGTTACCTGTGCTCTTGGGATTGTTAACCAAAGCCTTGGCCTGCCCATCACGTCTAACTCCTTCCACTTTCTTCAGAAATTCTATCACCTCATTAAAACTTTTACTTACGGAGGTCATGTGAACAGACAATACTTATTACTCGGGGTTCAATCATTTGACGAATAGACGGACCCTCTCCTCCTCTGTAATCACTGACTGCTTAGCATATTTGGACACAACATGGAACTTCACCTCATAGGCAGCTACAGTCATACCATCCTGCTCCAAAGCCATAAACTCATCCTTCTTGTGATCCCTTAAAGTTTGGGGCACATACTTCTTCAAGAACAAAACATGGAACTACGTCCAAGTGAGTGGGGGCAAGACTGGCAATCTGCATTCCACATAGGCTCTCTACCACTACTTAGCCTCACCTTGAAGCTTAAAGGTCACAAATTCTACTCCATGCGGATGTACAATGCCCAATTTGTGAAGCCTCTCATAGCAATCCAAAATGAACACATAAGCATCCTCACTCTCAGAACCATGGAACATAGGCGGCTTCCATTTCAAAAACTTAGTCAACATTTCATGCTCAGTACCAGTCATCACAGGACCCAATAAGGAACGGAAGAAGGCATCAGTGCCTAATGCTCCATCCACCCTGGGAACAGTAGTAGTAACGGGGCGGTTGATCAGAGGTTGAGCAGCTTGCACTGTGGGAAGGACTTTGGGGCCGACCAACGCCTTCAGAAAGGTCATGATTTGTTGAGCTAACACTGGGTCTAAGGGAGAAATGCCGTTATTCCCAGCATGTGCATCCTCTTCTGGTCTAACATCCTCCTCATCTTCGATCTCCACATACTCTTCTACCCGTTCTTGAGGTGTAGGAGGGGCCACTTCCCTAGGAACATTCTCAGTTGGGGCTTCACCCCTGGCGGGTGCCACTTTTCCTCGGCCTCTGCCCCTTCCTTTGCCACGGCCTCGACTGCAGCCTCTTACTATGGGTTCCTCCGTTGGCTCATTGATAGGGGGCTACGGGTCTGACGTCGTTGTATTGCATATTAACCATCTGCAGACAAAGGAGTGAAGAGAATTAGATACCAATTTGGATCACCAGATACAAATTGGAATCAAGTCATAGCACTAAAGAAAAAGAAGACAGAGAGATTTCCTAAACTCATATAACCTCTCGAAGAAAAGTACTCACGTCTCCGTACTGTTCCACAAGACTCTACTAGACTCATTTTGGTACAATGAGATCAACGAATCTAGGGTTCTGATACCAACTTTGTCACGACCCAGACCGTCGTGATTGGCACCAACACTAACCCTCCAGTGGGAGAACATTACTACAACCCAATACTCATAGTCATACAATCAAGTAATAGGTTTATGGCATGTATTGTGCACACAAAATCATTTCATTAGATTTGATTCACATTTCCCTATTCACATACATGTACGCATACAATTAATCAATTATCCAGCATATATCACACAACAAGAAATCAAACAATCACCTACCTCAAAACCAAGCATGAATACTCCTAAGACACTTGAATCTTCTCTTTCCAAAGACTTTTAGCTTGTTCTTGGTCTATAAACAAGTAATTAACGCAAGGATCAATAAACAAGGTCTAATTTACCCGGATTATAATAAACTTATTAATCCAAAACCAAACCCATGATCCTAATGTTCAACTAGGGCAGGCCAAAACCCTCCCCCAATGATAATTGCCCAAGATTCTAAGTTTTAGGAATCGAAATACGTATTAGGGGAGTAATTAACTTACCTTTAGTTCTAGAAATTGTGGGAAAATGTCAAGAATCTCCATGGGTCGTCCCTTAGCTCTTAAGAATGATGTTTTGGAGAAAATAACAAAATTGGGGTTTTTTCCTGACTTAACTCGCGACTGGCCCACTAAGGCGTACCCTATCCTGCTACAATGGTCCCACCCAATCAGTTTGCACGGAGGCAGAAGCTTGGAATTTGAGTCCCAAGCTCCCATTTCTTAACACACCTTCAAACCGAGACATTCTAAAACTACCCTTTCACGCCAAGATCAGTTTCGGGAGTTCTACTTGCCCGAATTCGATTCTGTAAAGCCGTACAGGCTCCTTAACATCTTGGCTATCCACTCATATGATTAAATTCATAATTAGATCTCCCATTCTTACCATATTTCTCTAGACCTCACCTGACTTAGATTTCGTCAAAGTTTAGCCTAGGCTAGAAATTTCCAAGTTACTACTCAGAGGTTTTCTAGCCAGAATTCCTTCCCCATTAGCTTTTCCATAAAGATGGGAACCGTTCATTACACATATAGATGAGACCAAAAGAAGATTTTATGCAAAGATGTTATGAGATCGAAAGAACATTAGTGACATTAAAGATAACTCAGCCTATTCATGAATTTTCATCACTATAGAGCAACAGAATTACCCCTATGTGACATTGATTTCCAATCCCCGCACCCCTAAATTGCTTGTTACTTCTTGAATTTTCTGAAATTTTAGTTTAATTGTGACAATTGATAACCAAATTATTTTATTAAATTGGTGGAATTATCCACACACTTGTTTTTACTACTATCAATAAATGAATTTACAATTCAAATTTCTAGTTAGAATTTTCTACGATATACCATTCTCTATGGGATTCGACCTGACTCTTAGTTGGGTATTTTTTATTGACGACTACAGTTGTCTCTTTTAATTAATTTTGAAGAGTACATTTGAACGTTATCAAGACTAAAAAAGCAAAATAATATATAATTATGCTTATATATTAGGGCAAAATATTCAATGAGGCTAATATACCTAAAATAAAAGAGTAGGTATAGCAACTCTTAATGGGTTAACGGTATACCCGATGATAAAATTGAATAATCCACCCCCACACCAATAAGACATTAATTATAAAACTTTAATCTGTTCCCCAACCATTTATTTGATAATCCAATACCAATAAGTCAAACAAATCACTTTTGTTGTTGGCTTATCGGTTATAGTTCAGTTTTGAACACCCCTACTTCTCTAATACTTGGGTGATATGATAATTTCCATCCTTTCATATCTTGTCAAAAGTTT